CGCCTGTAATACATGGAAAACATATCCAACTTATGTAGCCTCTCCGGGTACGTCAGCTTCTTTAATTCGTGCACCATTTGCGTCCCTGACCGCAAGACTCGTTCAACTGCCATCTTATCACGAACCAGATATGGAGGACAAGCCTGGACGCAGTATTCCAAGTGCGGCCCTACAAAAGCCGAAAACAGTCTAACGAACATTTCGGTGGTCATGATCCCGAATGACCTGCGGATCATCCACAACATGTTGAAATCTTTGCGAGCAGCTGTCGTCTAGTGTCGTCTAGCGGAACGCCACTGTGAACACATTGGCCGAAGGACAGGCTTGAACCCACCCGCACACACATTTCCCTTACGATTAGGAAAGCTGAAATCCATCGTAAGACTGGTCCGGAAATACCACAGGAATTCAGCTTGTACAAAAGGCGCGAATGTGAAACGGTGTCAAAAGCTTTGGAAAAGTCAATAAACAGCACGTCCACTGCCTTCCCGCAATTAACGCCTTTGGCCCAGTGTTCACGAGCGGTTAACATGTTAGTAAGGCAAGAATAGCCCTTACGAAAACCGTGCTGAGAAGGAGTAAGCAACGCAAACGCTTTCAAGTGTCCTTCGAGAGCGTCCCTCACAAGCTTTTCCAATAACTCGACCAGCACGCTCGTTAAACTGACCGGTCTATAGTTATCAGGGAGGTGCTTATCACGTTTCTTAAAAATGGGACAAACAATAGCCTCCTTCCAGTTCCTGGGTAGAGAGCAGCCTCGTAGATACTTCACAAAAAGTTGCGTAATCGGACGGCAAAGTTCATCAGCTAACTCCTACAACAGTTTGGGATGAATAGCATGCCCACCGGCAGCTTTAGTGGGATTTAATTGCCTCAGAAGCCGGAGCACTTGAGCCTCGGTTATAGAAACCTCCTCCATGTGGAGCCCTCAGGAACATTTGCCTGGAGACTGATATGCGGCGGCTGACTCTCGAACATAAACTCCAGCATACTGTTCTCCGAGAAAACAAGCTAACAAACAAACTAAGCTGATGGTACCATCGGTTGCAGGCATCGCCCAAAAGACCGCCGGAATCGTCAGTTACTGGTATATTGCAGCTTGGACTGCCACAGTGCGATAACCTTAGAATCCAAGCCACCAGGAACAACAGCCTCTGTGCATTGCGAGACCGACATAGTGGAAAACAGAGTGGAATTATAACACGTACACAATAGTTAAACGACCTTAATAAAAAGCAAAAACTGGGTGCAAAGCGGGATTAAAACTGGGAAAAACCGGAAAAATTATCAGTAAGCGCCAAAGACGCTTTGACCAGAACAGCTTTAATCGATCCAAGATAGCTTGGATCAGAGGAAATTTGACAATGGTCAAATCCCGTTGCAAGTGTTTATGCAAACACTGTTTTCCACAATATTGTAGCTAAAGAGCTCGATCAGTATGGCACGCCAAAATATCGAGTTACCGCGTAGAACTTACAGGGAAACCCCTCTATCTCCCGCGTCTCCATCAACCACCTGGTATCTGGATATAGCCACAGCTTCGAAAAATGGAAACCTTGACAGTGACACAGATGCAATTCCCCTCATTCGTAAAATTCAACATTCCACTTGAAAGAGAAATGCGCTCAGCAATCAGCATCCTGTAACGGTGTAGGATTTATTATACCGTGAAAGTGGCAACTTACAGTTTCCCAGGAACTTTGCTACGCCTGCCATGAACACAGGGATACTGCACGTACCGGTACGGGTACACATCTGGCAACCCCTTTCACATTGACGTTCATAATGCTATGCAGTCACAGCCGTATGCTTGCAAAAAGCTGTGGCAGTTGCAAATTTCTTTACACCAGACTCAACCTCATCAAGTTTCCGATAATAGTAAGCACCAAAAGACATAAAATTCCAGATTCATCCACCATGATGACTGTTACAAATGTGGCGCCAAGTGATTTCCAATACCCCTGTAGTCTACCACAACAACTAACTATGAGAACCCCATTAACCTTCTTCAATACAAATCATACACCGAGTTAACATGTGTATACTATATATATATACAAACCGCAACTAATGGCAACCTCTCCAGTTGGCCTAGCATACCTACCTAACCAAACCCGCCGCTAGGCAAATCTCAGATGTGAGAGTCCCGGTCCGCACTGCATGCATCGTGCATCTTTGATCCACTGTGATGTTTCCCGTTTACGTATAGAAGCGCTTTAGAAGCCTAGTCATTGCATACCGGCAATTATATCGGTGCAGAAAACTTCCTAACCCGATCTTCCATCCGATTGTTGTGTCCCCTCAAACAACAATTCACGCACAAGTCTTGCTTCCAGCAGATTTACGGATACAAGTCACCCACTTCGTCGTGCATTGCCTGGGTGTATAACAGCATTCCCAACCAGACAAATGAATCGAACTACGTTTGCCCACACAACGAGCGACCACACATCTCTTACACCATATATGGCACGTTTCGTTTGCGAGCAGTCATCAGTTGTCCTGGAGCAGGAAAGGAACTTTTCACCGTACCCATGTCGTTGTTTTGCCACAGGATTATAGTTTTGTATCTATTCCCTTATATCCCATACTGTGCTAAAGTCGGTGTGCAACTGATCAAAATATATAACTCTCATGTGCATAATGCATATTTTTGGATCGAATTGAAGTACTGGAGTCCACACCATGTCGACCACAGATACGTTGCTGTAAAGTCCATATTCCAACTTGAGCGTTTGAATTACCAACAACCCCCACGGTATCTGCACATTTCCTTTAACATATATGCTCATTCAGTTCTTGTTATATCAATTTAATATAAATAAACAAAGCTCTTTTTTTCGGAAGAAGCCATTGAAGCCAGAGCCCCTTCTCTCTGTTCCTCTTCTTGCCCTCTCAACAAAGAATAACCCTTTCTCTTTGATGCTTTGTCTCTACCTGACTAACAAACACACTAATCGTATATCCGCGCGATTTCGTTTTCAAGATCGTCGCGCGAATTTCAAGTTAGCGTTTTGCCAAATCGGATAAAATGACAGCGAAAACGTTTGGTTTTTTTGGCTTCTGGGCCGGGATCCACTCAAACTGCGCGACAGTGACTGAGCCAAGGAGCTCTCTCCCAGTGCAACAGCTCCCACCTCTGCTTCCGGGTAATTTAAGGGATATAGTACACTTTTGAGTAGGTAACTTCAATTTTAATTTGCCTATATTATCTGCTGTTTGCCTTCCGCAGGGGTGGAGTAGTGGGTGTGGGAGGCTTATGTGGTGATTGTTAAGGTATTCCTATAAGGCTATTTTTGTAAATGCGGAGAGTGCGGTAATGGGGTTTTTTATAATCTTATAATTAATTTATTGGTGCTTTATAGGTAATTATTTAATTACTGTTCACGGGCTCGCTCTTGCGTCCAATAACCGGAAACCGAGGGAAAAACAGAACGTATAATGCAACGCCGTACCCCGCAACGCATCAGACCATCAGGGAACGAAACGCGACCGAACGCAACGCGTTTTACTGGTTTTAGATATGATAAGATAAGACTCTCTGCTAGCTCTGCAGACTGACACATGGGGTTGATTTTTTGAGGCAAAACCTTTATAAGAATATGGTTGTGTTTCGAGAATAATTTTTTAGCCTTGAGGAACTGAAGAATCCTCTCTGAAGAATGCTAAGAATGCACATTAGTGGGCTACAAGAACGCATCTGTGCTAAGATTACACCATGGGGTAGGGTACGATCGAAAGAAGAATTGTTTCGGTTTGTTTTTTTAATAAGTTAACCCGCACCCACACTTGTTTAACCGCCATCATTTTGGTTCTTACAAAATGTGCCATTTTAAGAAAATGTCACACTCTACTCCCATGTTTAATCAGCTCTAATCACCTCGAACACAATGTAGAATAATTTTGCCTCTACTCTTAACGTTCTGTTCATTTCACCTTCATTTTGGTACTACCACTATGCGCAGTGACAGTAACACAAATGACGATTATTTGTGAATATTGCGCGTGATAATTCAAGCAAGCGAATGGGGCGGCAAGGGGCAGGGGGCAAGGCTGGGCAAGGCCCGGCGCGGCAAATGGCGCAGCCAGGCGGGGGCAATGGCCAATTCGGCAGGGCAGGCACGCGGCGCGGGCGCGGGCGGGCGGGCGGCAGGGCGCGGCAGCGCAATGGGGGCAGGCAATTGGCAGGGGCGGCGGGGGGGCAGGCAGGCGGGGGCGGCGGCAGGGGGGGCAGGGGCCGCTAAGCAATTTGGGCGTCGGCAATTCCCGCCTATTTGGCAGCAGGGGCGGGCCGGCAGGCGGGCGGCCACCGAGCCGGGGCAATTCAAAAATTATTTTTTTTTGGGCAAGGACGCAATCTCGGCGGGGCAAGCGGGGCAATCCCAATTCAATTGCGGCGGCAAAGTGCCCGGGCAGCAGGCGGTCGGCCGGCGCCAGGCCGGCGCGGCGCAACAATTTGCTGCCGGCAGGCAAGGGGCGGCGGCCAATTTCGGGGGCGCAATGGGCCGGCAAATTGGCCCCAGGCTGGCAGGCAATGGGGCAGCAATGGCGTGCAATTGCGGCGGCAGGCGGGGCGGCAGCAACCGCGCAGGCGCAATTTGCTGGCGCGCGGCAGCAGGCGCGGTGGGCCTGGTCAATGGGGGGTGCAAGGCGGGGGCGTGCCAACAGGCGGGGCCCAAAGGCTGCAATGGCGGCAGGGCAATTGGCGCGGCCAGCAAATTAGGCGGCGGGGCGGCAGGCAAGGGCACGGGGCAGCGGCGGGGGGGGCCAGGCATGGGGCAATGGGGCGCAGGGCAATTGGGCCAAGGCCAAGGAAGGAGGCGGCGGCAATTGCGGGCAGGGCGGCGCAGCAGCAAGCGCGGCACGGCGGCAGGCGCGGCGGGCGGCGGCGGGCGGCAATTTTGGGGGGCCAATCGGCGCGGGCTATTGGCCAGGCAGCCAGCGGGCAGGGGCAAATTATTGGCAGGGGCCAAAGCAGGCAGGCAATTAGGCGGGTGGCAATGGCCGGGGCAATTGGCAGGCACGGGCATTGGCCGCACTTTGCAATTTGGCCGGGCAATTGGCCCTCGGGGCAGGCGGGGCGCCAGGCAGCGCGCAATTCGCAACAAGCGCGCAATTATCAGGCAGGCAGCATTTATGTGCCAGCAATTGGCACACCCAAGGTGGCAATTGGCAATCCGGCGGCCAAGGCGGCCAATTGGCAACGCAATTTTGCGCATCAGGGCAAGGGCAGGCGCAACGGCGGGGGGCAATTCAATGGGGGGGGGCAGCGGCAGCAATTATTGGCGGGCGGGCAGCACAGGCAGGGCGGCAAGGCGCGGCGGGCCGCGGGCAATTGCGCAGGCCAGGCCATCAATTGGCCAGAAGGGGGCAGGCGGCATTCAAGGCGCGAGGCAACAGGCAAGCCATTCAATGGCGGCGAATTGGGGCTATTGGCCCGCGGCAAGCAGGGGGAATGGCGGGCAACAGGGCCCAAGGCGGGCGCAATGCATTGCCAGCAATTTGGCAATTATTGCTCTCGCAGGCAATTGGGGTCAATTACCAATGGGGCACAGGCGCCCAATTCAAGCCCAGGCAATTCGGGCAGGCCATGCGGCAGGCGCAGCAATTTGGCACGCCAATTGGGGCAGCAAGGCCGCCAGGCGCACCCCTTAGGGGCACAATTTGGCAATTGCGGCGCGCAGGCAGGGGGGCCCAATCATTTGCAATTGGCAAGGGTGGGCACGGGCAATTGCAATTTGGGGGCAATTGTGTAAGGCGGTGGGCACAAGCGGCAGCATGCAATGCAGCCACAATTGCAGGCAATTGGGGGCGGGCCCAACCCGGGCGCGGCAGCCAGCCACGGGCACAGGCAATTGGCAGCAATTCGGCAGCGCCGGGGCGGGGCGGGCAGGCGCAGGCAATGGCCGGCAATAGCGCGGCAGCGGCGCAGGCAGGGCGGGCAGCGGCGGCGCAATGGCAATTCAATTTGGCGGCGCCAGCCAGGCACGCCCAATCGCCAACAAACAATTTGTGCAGGGCACGCAAATTTGCTGGCAGGCAATTCCCACAAATTCCAATCGGCAATTTAGCCCTAATGGCTCTGGTTTCCTAAAACTGTTTCCGCCAATTGCTGCTCCCCTCTGCTTGGTTTCCTAACTGTGTAAGGGAGTCACCAGGGCCCTTACTTTGTTGTTTGTTGTTGGGAATATAAATGCCAAAACCAAAAACACCAGGCTTGTTCCAGAGCTTGTCCAGCTTTTTGGCTTGTAAGCATAAATTTATAAACAGAGCGAACCAAAAAAAATAATCTGAAACGTTTAGGGTTATTTGGGTTTGGGGTAATTACTCCTAAACCTAATTGCTTTCCCGACCGAAACCTATTGCCACGCGTCTCATCAAGGCAAGCCACAAGGCACAAGCCACAGCCAAACAGCAGAAGCCAAAAAAGCAACCATAAGCGTACGTTTATTTTGTTTTCTTACCTTTTAATATAATGTTAAACCGGCTTCTTTGTCGTAGTTCGTAGTTTAGTAGATGTTGCTGAGTTGCTCTATGTCCAGTCACCTCATTTTTGTATATCTATATGGCTCTACCTAACTTCCTACTTCTGAGTCAACGGCCCCTTCTCCTCGCTCGTTGCTGACTCATGATCTCTTTATTTGAACATTGTTCTTCTAATTGAATTAACATGCATTTTTATTGACATTTAAAATTACCTTTTTAGATGCTATGCCATAAAAAAGAAGCCTCGACTCCGTGAAGCCTTCGCGAAAGTCCGCGCTTTTCAGGACACAATCCGACTCGAATTTCGAAAGAAATTTCTCCGGCGTATTGGCTGCTCTCCCTGGGGTTTTGGTTTTTGGTGTTGTTGTTAATGGCTTTTTTGTTTAATCCGCCGAGGGTCGGATAACCATAGTACACTTGGGGGGAACCGGTGAAGGGGTGGGTGGGGTTGGGGGGGTCGGGGGGGTGGGTGGCGGGTGGGTGGGGGGTGGGTGGCGGGGGGCGGGGGGGGGGGGGGGGGGTGTGTGGGGGTGGTGGGGGGGGGGGGGGGGGTGGGGATGCTGTGCCTTCGAACATGGATTTTATTTGAAAGTCATTTATTGGTGTGTTTTGAAAAAAAAAGAGAAAAAAAAAATGGTTAAATGGTGAAAAAATTTTTTGGAAAAATTTGAAAACAAATAAAATACAAAAATGCAAAAATGTTTTTGTGTATTGTATCTCCACGTCGTGCAAAACCAAACGAATCCGAATAACGAAACGAATCGGAATAACGAATAAACGAAATACCAACGAAAATATGGGTTTCACCATATATAAAATATCGAAGATAAAAAATCTTGCTTTACTGTATTTATCTTACTCGGTTCTCGTTTGCTTATGTTTTGACCTACTTTTCTAGAATTGGGACTGGACGGAGGGGGGGGGAGGGGAGGGGGGACGACAGGAGACCCCACCAGAGAGAGGGGAGGAGAGGACACCCCAGTCCAGGTTATTTGTCCATGTTTTAGTTGTTTTGTAGCTGTACCTTGTGACCGCAAACGTTTCTCATATAGCTGCGTTTCTTGCCGAAAACACGAACGAAAGTCCAAAATCCATCCCGGCGAGGGGGGGGGTGGGGGGGTGCTGTGCGGGTCGTGTTATTTCGAATATACTGGCAATATATGCCTCTTACTTTTACTCTTAAATTCAATTACCCAGTGATGGAGAGCAGCCCTTAAATTATCACTCTACTTTGTGTCAACTAAATGACGCACGGCTACGTGTGCTTTATCAAAAATTGTCAGCTGTCTATCCTTTCTTCGCTTAACATCCATCTTTATTTCTATTGCAAACTATAAAATTGTTGCACTGCTTCAGCTAGCTGAACGTATCCTCCTAGTTATGAGCAGTATGTAGTCCCATAGTTCATATTGCAGTTTGCAAGCTGGCGAGACA